GCAGCCACTACCCGTGCTATCTGCAGCTTGATTTCTAGCTGCTCAAATCCCCTCTCCAACACACAGGGCAGCAAGGACACGAACAAGCAGCTCCCACCTCGGTCAGCTAGAAGTTACATAGCTTGTTTCACTTTTGTTATCCAAGCCTCACCCAAAGAAAAAGCCTGCTAGAAGTGACAGCTGCTGAAGGGAGAGACAGGAGCCTGTCCCCTGTGCGGGAGGAAGAGCAGCCCCCAGCCCTGGGGCACAGCCATGTCCCATCAGCAGCATCCCGGGAAGCACAGCTTCCCAGACTCAGTCCTACAGCTCCCACCAGCTGGAGGATCACATACCCACCCTGTTCTTGAGTGATGCTGGAGGACAGCTCTCAAGAAGCAGAAACTGCAGCAATAGGTACGACACACTCCATTTCTCCCCAACCCAAGGGTCAACACCACCTTGGCTATGGGGGACGTGTTGGACCCACCTACACGCCTCCCTGGCACAGGATGTGTCATGCCTGCCTTCCAACAGCAGGTTTCAAAGGCTCCTTTTTAGCCAAATGCTCTTATTCTACACCTTATGTCACAGCACCTCTTTTTCCACAGCACCTCCTAGTTTCTAATCATGTAATTCCTTCTCCAGTGACCTACATAAACTTCACCTCTGCTGTCTCACCCCTGCCTGGAGGAACATGTTGGCACTTTTCACTGCCTGGTTAATGTAAGGGCAAGGCAAGCCCACCATCTCCTCCAAGCTCTCATCTTGTGCAGCTCTGTGATTTCTTCACCTGTAACACCAAGGGGCCACTGGCTATATCAGCAACCGACCATCAAAATCCCCTAGAAATGACACAGGATATCCCATCGTTAATTGTTTCAAGGTTAAAACCTTCTTTTCACCCTCAGAATCACTGCTGGCTGGGAGGGATGCCAATGGAGCTGCCCCAGCAGCCCATGCCAAGCAAGGGACGGGGCAAGACCAAAAGTCCCAAGAGAAGACCTTGCCTGACCCCAGCATGAAGGGCACGAAGCCCAGTGTACTTTGCACTAATCCAGGAGCTGCCATTCCCCCTGCCCAAGGCTTGTGAGATATCCAACCATCCTGGACCCCCCATTCAATCACTACAATTAAAAACTAGAAAGGCTTCAGTCAGCTCTTCTGAGCAGCAGAAGCTCCTCACTCCTGGGAGAGGAGATTGAAGTGCTCAATATGGCATAGGGGAGGTTGAAGCCCTCTGGGAGAACGATAGCTCCCATTCTTGCTGGGGCACGTTCCCAAAGGGACTGTCACGGTAGCCGGCCGCTAAGCATCTGCCGGCACACGGCAGCCCTCTCGGACGTGCCCGGGGAAGAGCCGCCTACGAGGGCAACAGCACGGGCAAAGGGGATGGAGAGCAACCCCCCCCGCAGAGCCACCGCCTGCCTCCCCGAGCAGGATTTCCCTCCGAGGGGAACACAGGCAGAGGCGGGGGAAACAGCTCCGC